TGTATATACACACGTATACATACGTACATATATCGACCTGAAAATTGTCGCTTGATGACCATTCGAACTTTATTCCATCGAATATTTTAATATTTTTGTATACCTGCAGTTGTTACCGGCCCTCAAAGAAGTTATAGACATGGTTTGCTGCCAGTGAGTCAAGCGGCCGAGCTGTTGGACCCATCACCACCGCATTCATGCACGTTTAGCCAAAATTGCATTGAGCCACAACCCGATTTCTTAACAGTGCCCACCACGACACCATCCTCTGATACCGCTCACTGGGTACCAATAACAGGTTTATAGCGTCACAAAGCCCTACCTTTAAGGTTTTGCCAGACTTTGACCTGGCGTATGCCACCCACCCACTGTGGTGCTTGTATCTCTTGATGTTACTTTGACTCTCTGCAGGACATCACCAACTGTTTACGACTTGGTTAGCGATGGATTGGTCAGTGGCCCTAGTACAGGAGGCCAGTTTATGCAGCAATGCTGCAGTGTCACTGGTTCGAGGTCATACCCGTTGACTATGGAAGCGGGTTGGGTGATAGTAGAGATATGAAGCTCTCTGAAGGAGCTCTGATCACCGCTTATTGGCGCAATTAATACTAATGGCGCGCAGACCCACGGCTAGCGCCTCACCGATAACTGAGTAGGATTATCTAATGATAAGATAGAAATTGCCGTATAGAGAATTTTTGATGCAACCAAAGCTCGGTGGTTTGCCAGTCATATACGCGCAATGAGCATAGGAAGACCATGTTATTTGGTAGCGCCGACTTCGGTGACCAGGTCATGCGCTACGGGGGAGCAAATAAGCACACAGGCAAACACAAACGCACGAAGCAAATATATATACACCAAATGAAGGAAAAGGAACCCTAGAGGCTTTCGCTCGGGAGCGACGTATATCCATTTACTTTGTAGAATTATTTCCTTACTGCTACTTCGTGCTTTCCTTAGTGCTGTTGAAGTTGCTGTTCTGAAGTCTCCATATATACCATATAAACGTACGCCTCGCTACGTTGCTTCACCATAGCCGTTATGAGTTTCCTAATTATCTGTAATGATACGACACAATCGCGCCTGCGTATATAAGCAAGCAGATCTATACAAAGTTTACGATATATTTTACATGTATGCAAATATATTTATACCAGCATACCGTCGCTTGCCAGACAAAAACTGTCATTTTTGCAACAGTAACTTAGTATTTTAAAATAAAATTAATTTAAAACCAACCAGCTTAGTCATACTACATTTACAACTGATAGTGCTTTTTTGCGGGATATTATACATGCAAGATAAAACTTGCAGAATATTTCATCCCCTGTATTTTTCATCTACAATATAGCTCTTCTCAAATAAAAAAAAAAGAAATCGCCCAGCTCAAATCGTCTTCAAAGAAGCGCTGATGTTAAACGTTAGAAATGCCATTAATAAGCACAGAAAAGACTAAGCCATTTATGAAATCTATGTGCTCTACTGATATGGAGCTAGGTACCTCTATGTCAACATTTCGCAATATCGATCCTCGTCCCCGAAGAAACGGAACCCTGAGCAAACGAACGCGACGAGGCCTTTATTAAATAAGTCCATCTCTCTGCGGGATGGTAAAGCTAGATGTAATATTTACACCCCAACAAAGAGCCATTGATTCAAAGGATGGAATTAGATTCCGTGTACGCCAAGAGACAAGGTGCGGGTTTGCTAATAAAGAAGTTTAGGCTATTTTGATTTGTTTGAACGTTACCAAACTTTATCGTGCTAAACTGCATATGAGGTGAGGAAAGATAGGTTTGCGTTGATGCTTGGCCTGCGGGGCATGCCCATAGTTTGAAGGAACGTATGAAAATCCACAAAAATCTAGTTTGGGATTTTCGTTGAAGGCTACGTATGAATAACCTAGGGAATATACTCGTGATAGGTAACGAGCTAGCATTTAGTAGAAATCGTAATAGGAAGGGCAGAAAAACGTTTTTCCTTTTTGAAAAACCTCTGTCTCTCCACGGCTCCGCCGCTGTAGACAAAGAAAATGTATGGCTATGACGGTTCCTAACACTGGGAACGAATGAGAACAGCAAGATTATTAAGCAAGTATTCGCGTTAGATAAGGCAATCCATGTGCACTCAGGAATACGTAAGGTCAGTACCTTCCTTTAAGTTTTACGCCGACGCTGCTACGAGAAAAATGAGCAAGCTCTAGTAAATACGCTGGATGAACTCACCCGTATAACTACTGCAGTGTATACGAGCTCTAACTAAACATCAAGGCCAGACCTACCTACACGATCTAACTGGCTGTGATCGCTTCCGGCTCACAGGGAAATCATATGTCACGAATAAATTTCGAAAAATTCGCTACCTATGACAAAAATAAGTAAATTTCAAATTAGCTTTTCTATATGCTTACAGTCGATGACAGTGGCGAATATTAAGTTGTCCGGAGAAGTTATAATAACTTTTATATGTAAGGCTGAGCAACTAGCTGTGTCGGATGTTGTTTTTAGCCTCGCATATTAAAGCCACTAATCCGAAAACCTCTGAACGACCGGCATTACGATATGCCATTTCATTATCGATTGCTTGTCGACTACAGGGTACAGTGCACCTATCGGTACGGAAGTATTCGACATTGCACGGACCTATATCTGGCTTGTATGAGAGCTAAGACCGTCGCTTGCTCCCGTTATCTTCGATCCAGGCCGCGATTGAAACGTGGCTATAAGATCGTGTACTGTCACTAAGAAACTATGCTGTACATGGATGTAGGCCTCAGATTACGCCCGAATCTATGTGACATTGTCAGATCGTCAGTAGCGACCACTCCTCGGCCATGACTCACTATAGCGGCCGGTCTGTTCGCTTGGTAACGACCATTCACCACCCGCTACCAACTCAATAACAATTCTCGCACTAAAACTCCGTTGGGCACGAAGGGATAAACTAAAATATCAAAGGGAACTCATCATTTATTCCTTTAAGTGGAATATGCCTAAATAGCTGTTACGACGACTACGTCTCTGTCTGCTGTGTTGTAAACCGGTAACTCGTCCTCGATTACACGTAGCTTATTTATTTTTTCCACATCGTACATCTTAAAGTTCTGGAACAAGGCATATCAGCTCGTCCCTTATAGAGCCTTTGGTATCATTACAGAGAGTCTTCTTTGTAGATAGTATTGTGCCATCACGTAACAGCTTCGAACATTGAACCTTTTGTCGGTTTTTTTACAACGGCAAAGGCAATCATCCTCTAACCTGCAGGTACTAGACACTATTTCGCTTCGTACGTATCATTGACTATGCTCCTTCAACAGGTTGTTTTTCTTCACCTCTTATGAGAATCGTCTAAGAGAACGTTCTAAATAACCTTCGTCATTTTCCTGTCTATTCGCCGCGTCTCCAATGGAAATTATTGCACGTTAAGTGCGAAACTAAAAGTCTATTACGAAATTGGTCGCGGACGATCGATGACAACTATATATGGCCACTGCTATCTAAGTTACTTTCTTACGATATCGTTTTACAGCCTGATCCTTCACTGGTAGCCAGTGTAGACCGATTCATGTCTAATCTATGTCTACGGTAAGCGTCAGGCAGGTTTTGCTGGCAGTAGTTGCATAAACTCTCCCTAAAGTGCGCACCACGCGTATTTTCATCTGCTCCGGACATTGTTTGCAAATTTTTGTTTTTTGCATTGTTTGTTTTTGTTCTTAAGCTTCAGTCTCTGTTACAGCTTCATAACATTGCTTTAAGGACTTTCCATATTAAGCCGACAGGATTAGTTATGCTTTCCTTTGGTGAGAAGCTTCTATGGCTGCAGCGGCCTCTTTTCTGTAGCCGTTTATTTTTTGTTCCTTTTATTTTCCAATTTTAAAATAAGGGTACCATTATTTTGTTGTGTTGGTGTGTTCCTGATAGCCTTCTTGCTCAGTATTTTCACAACCCATAAACAAATCCCGCCAGCGCTTTTCAAATCTCAGAGACCACAAAATTGACTTCTGCACTAGGCGGCAGCCTTGCCGTTTAGTCTTTCTGTAATGACACCCAATCGATTTATAGTTGTGACTAGCCAAGGACTGGATGTAAATATTTACCAAGCTATATATTGTGTTGAAGTTATTCAGCATTTTTGACCCTCTGTATAAGATAACTTCACGGTGCGTTGATAGCTACTACAGTCAATACGGATTTAAGTTATCTCATCTTTCGTATATTGTGAAGACAGTAAAAATCAGCATATTCTTGCATTATAACGAGTAAGCAATGAAACCAACCGGATAGCTCTGAATTTACAAGGATTCTATTCCTAAACGTTGTTCATAGTTGCAAAGGTAAATGCGCCTACTTAATAGGCTCGTGAACTAACAAAATTGCCACAGATTACCTCTCACGCGGCTTGGCCGCTATGCCAGGTCGTTCGTGAGATATAGTACAGGGTACAGGCATCTTCAGCAATCCGTATAAAGTGAGCTTAAGCGAACTAGTGAATTATTCGTCAAGCATTAAATATAAAGGTGGATACTGATGCACTGCACTGAACTGGACCCCCGTAATTTTAACAATTGAATTAAGGCAAGGATAACTTAAGGGTGTTTCCGAGATAATTAGTTGTGACACAAAAAAGATACCGACTTTCTCTAGTTACTATTATATTAGGATTATAATTATTACGATTTTAACGCTTTTTCGTTGCGTCTAGACGTCGCAATCGCAGTGTTCCATGCGGTTGTTAGGCCGTAAGGTGTCTCTAAATCGCGGTCCTAACCAAAATTTATTACAGAATTATACCAGCAGCGTACGCCAGTAGTGTATAATTACTAGTGTATTTCATTGTTATTGTTGTTTTTTTTTTTTTGAAAAAAGCAGATGCATAATAAGATGTAACCTGAATGACTGTCGGTTAGGGCGGTCTTCGATTTTTACCAGTCGCATTTATTATACTTGTGGTAATGGCAGACACCGTTTCCTTTTTCGGCTTCTGGTGTCAGATATAGACAGCTCAGAGATTACCTGCCTCAATTTTTAACTGAGTTCAATCTGTGTTATAACACAATTAGTTTTGCTTACCGCTAGCGTGCATCTGTAGCGCATTTTTCTAGCTCGTATTCCACTAACGGAACCTTTTTACGCCTTTTTTGGGGGTTATTTTTTTTTATTTATTTACTAAACAACATTCATTTGCATATCATATTGTTCAATGCATATACCTTTCACGTTTTCATCTATTATTATTGCTATGTAACTGCAATTTTGACGTTGTCGTTGTTGCGATATCGGTCAAGTGAGATAGTTAAGTTGGAGATATGAAGCTTACAATCTGAAGTAACTTTCACTCAGGACAATCCACATTTACTAAAGCCACCCGCAATTTTACCAGGAGAGCAGCACGTCTAAGTGCGCGTTCAGGACCCTGAAAAATGACAAGAGCCTGTGCTAATAAATACGCTCTCCCCATAATGAATACTCGTTGTAATATGCTATTTTGCGTGTTGAAAGAGAGCCGGCTGCACTGGAGGAGTCCTGACCAACTTATTTTGATGTGTTGTTGTCGTGAAGCTGTTTTAATGTAATATGGTTTATGTCGATAGTTTACACCGTCGTACAGTTCAAGTGTGGTCAGTCTAAGTTGATACATATGATTACATGTATTCACATGTTTCCCAATCTGATTTCTGTTGTTTTTTTCCTTTTTTTGCTACTCAATTTCTTCCAGGTCACCTCCGTCGCCTCTTCGATGTGAGACGTCCGCTGCGCCTGCGGCCGCCTTTGGCACGACTTCGTCGTGATGTCCACCGAACGGCCAGCAAGCAGACGCACATCAGTCCTCAGCAGGACCAGAAAGCAACCAATGGAAAACCAAATGCCGCTAATCAACACTCTTTACCTCTGCCAAACGAACCCACCGCCCTGTCTCTGGGCCCGCAGCTGCTCTTACCTCCGTCGCGAGGCACTCGCTTTGCGTCATGGTACAACAGCCACGGTCCTCTACAGACGCCGGGGCAGTTACCGTTTCAAACCCCAAAATTCGAAGGCACCAGCACCGCGGTCGCTACCTCAGTCACATCTCCGATGACAAACAGCCACAACTTCTACAGCTATGGCCAAAGCCAATCGCTGACGAGGCCATTTTCGCATGCTAATCGTATATTCATGCCGGAAGAGGAGTTCCGCGAAGGAAAAGCCAAGGCATTACGTGGGTAAGTCAGCAAAAACATACTACTGGCTATCTATTGACATTAGTGTACCAAACAAGCTAAAATAGAATAAAACGGTGAAACATGGTGCTCAGTTCGGTATTTATGTGTACGTCACTGCTGGGTTACACTCTCTCTAGAGTATAACCAAGCAGTGCTATGTGACTCTACAATATTTAATCGCTGTTTAGCGCCTGTGATGGGCAGGGACGTATCGGGCTGGACCCCAAGCTGACTTCAGGAACTTTGGTTGGTTTGAAAGCCATTCGAGTTCGCAGTTTCAGCTCACGTTATGGCTGACTAACATATCACGCGAATTATTGTTCATTGCGTTCTGGGTAATAACTCCCGATTTTTTGAAAATGATCTGGTCCCTAGGAAAACCTCAGATTATTTCAACAGTTAGAAAAATAGAATAAAAATGCCATTTGTACTTATTTAGCTTTATAACCATTTGGTTTGCAATCTTGGGAACGATTCGCTGTAGCTATCGGAGACGAAAACGTAAGACATACATGCTAGTCTCAACTGTTAGGTGCCACTGAGGACACAGGTGCGGGCTAGAGTCAGCATTTCCGACGATCAATTTAGTCGTAAACAATTTTATTGATAACCAGGTCTCCTTCTGCCAGTAATTGGGCGCTGTCGCTGTGCTTGTGCTCGTATCTCTTTTCCTGAATACGGAGACGGCCGCTCCTGCCCGAATTCATTCCTGCGGCACGTGTGTAATGTCCCGAAGTTCGACGCTTAACAGTGTTTAGTGTTTCACAGAAATTACACAAAGTCACTTTGATTTCATGACGGGCTTCCTTGTTTGTCCTTCACCTACAAATTGATTTATGCGGCGTTTTTGTTTTCAATGCAACTACACGCCGTAAACGATGCTCGTGTGTAAAACGGGAATAATAGGCTGCAAAGAAAACGTTCATAATTAGTCATTCGTTACTTGGGGAATCATTACAGTTTGTCTGTTCGTTTATTTTTCCAGATATTTACTGGTATTTTTTTAAAAAATGTGTGTCGGAAAAAGTCGCAATAACTTGTTGAACAAACTCTAACGTAGCAGTCTAATGAAATGCCTGTTCTGTGTATAGAAAAAAAAGCTCATTTACACCATAAGCTGTTAATTACAACAGCAGTACAGCGGAAAGTGAATTAAAAAAAAAAAAACAAAGTCGTAATTGTTGCTGACTATAATAACATGAGTAGATCTGACCGCAGTTAGCAGCAAAGCATATATCTTACGCATACTCTGTATGCATCAGAAGCTGTAGCTGTGTCAAGCAATACGCACTGACGCAATCCAACTGCTGGCTTACCACAATTAGTCCTGAACTATTTTTACTTTATATAGATCTACAGATATTGGCAAAAACTCATTTCACGTCCCTGGTTGTTTTCCTTAATAAATCACCTTAAACATATCGAATCAACGGTTTATATTTCGAGCATCCTCTGGTGGACCTTACTGATGCGACAAGGCCTAGTCCATGTAGGCGACAGGATAGAAGATCCATATGCCTCCGCCATTAACATACATACAACAGAATTGTGAAAAGTAAATGCATTTGTTTGCTCCCTTGTCTTCGAGCCGAACATGTCTGGTGAATAACCGATTCTTATAAAAGTATTACCTTATGACCTAGGTTGGGTCTAAGGATTTATAGCCAATTTTCGGTATAATTACGACTAATAATTAACGCTTTAGCTATCCTTCGATCAGGCCTTTCCGTTTGCCAATTTGATTTGGTCCTAGGTGAAGACTATTAGCGTGTGTGAAGTTTGCAAATGTTGTGGTTTACACTAGGCACAGGTTAGGGAATGTTCGTTAACTCGACGACACATGCCTCTATTGTTACGATCTGTCAGGATATTAGGAGAGCAGTCCAGTGTGAAAAAAATGGCTGCTTTTGAGCTGTAAGATGTGGCCTCAACAAGGCAATGACTCAACGAGGATATTGACGACGAACCTGCTTGTATAGTGACTTGCTGCTTCTTCCCGCGCTACGGACAAGCTCTTAAGTTGAGGGGCCATCAGACATCTATTAGGATTAAAGATAACAATTGTTAGCTTGATTCAACAACATGGAACTGTCAATTCCTGACAAGAAGCAGTGTCTCCGCTCTGTTATGTTGAATTATGCAAGCCGATGTTTTCCAGTAGTTCCCGGTCGACTCAGTGTACCGTATTATTTATATGTTCCCTATAGAACGTTAGTTCAATTATCGTACATCACCTAGTGCGCATTTCTAGTGCGCATTCACGGCTTCGCGAAAATCTGTGCGGAGCTTAGAAAATCCGGTTTAAAAAGCATTTCTCGAAACGAGCATGAGTATCTTGACTCGGCGGCTTGTGCTTGCTTGTAATTTGCGATTGCTCATCGACTAATTTATCCTATAGTTACCCCCCGTAATTTTGTTTCAAGTGTCGATGTGGGCGTATAGCAGTAGTTATAATACTGCTGCTATACGCCCACACATACGTATACCCTGATGAAACTCACGGACGGAATTAGTAGCTTTCGTTAGTTGCTACTAATCAGCACACAAAAGTTGGGTCCCCTCCTCTGCGCTCAGTGTGAGCTCTCGTAGTCGTCTAAAAAGAGTCTCATCGTGTTCGTAGTTCGGGTGACTCGGCGTTTAAGGTCGACAAACCTCTTGGCAGGAGACACTACTCCAGTTGACCCAACTATAGACAGCTCTAAATGGATATGACGTGAAGATTTGCTCTGTATATAATCAGAATGGTTACTCCTAGAGAGTTGGTTGAATATATATATATATATATATATATATATATATATATATATATATATCATAACTATTGCTCGTACATCAACCGCATTTATTTAGCTTATCGTTTATCTGCCCGCTGTTAGTATGTGTCACTTTAGTAAGCTTTAGCACAATGTTATAAACGAGATCTACACAACAAAAGGATTATCAGTCTTTTTGTTGTGTAGATAAACAATCGTATCTTGGTCAACAAGCTGCTGACTTACTGAGATTTCTATTTCAAGTCTATTACAAAGTCCTTTCGGATAACCGTTGCAAATCGGAAATCGGTACTGCAAATTTTAGCAACCAAAGGACAAAAACACCACGACCGATATACTAGAGAATAGTTTTAACCAATCAATGAAAGAATACATACGCGGTGTTAAAAACGTGTATGGTAAAGGCTATCCATAATCCTCACTTGTAACTATCCGTCGTCAATTTCAGGGATGACGCGCCTCCTGTGAACGTCGAAGATATCCTGTTTGATATGTTTAAGGAGACTGACGACACTATCTCGGTGGGGAAATTCTTCAGCGCTCTTTTCGCCACTGGGCTCAAAAAAAGTGACCATAGACTCAAGGTGGGTAAATGGCCCTCTATTTGAAAGCCTCAATCGTGTTGGCACCTCGAGTTTTTAGCTTGCAAGAGCATCTTACTTAGTAAGTAGACTTAGTCAACTAAGCGAAAATAAAAATATCCCATTTCGTCCACGAGTGAATCGTACCTATTCGTTAGACAGTTGACTTAAGTTGAGTTTAAATTTGAATTCACTGTGTTAGCCAACAGTAAGTATCGCGGCATAAATCAAAATAAAGGCTACATTTATTTTAGTTTGCATCGAGTTGTTAGTAAATCGAAGAGGATACAACACGCAAGGTCATTTGCGAAAGCTTCAACAGCCTAGACGATCAAGAACACTTCACACCACATTGGAAACAAGATGCGCAGGTTCATGAAGTAATTTTTGAAGTAAAACCGTCTAGTCAGGCTTAATTGAAAGCAACTGAGGTTCAGCGAAGTCTATTATAGAGGCGCTCTCCCGATTCTTTTCACAGTAATCTTGTGTCTCCTAGGGCAATGCTAAACATCGTAAAGATCGAAAAGCAGTATTTAGCCATCTAGTTTGTCAAAGGTGGCCCTTACAACCTTCTTAAAAGACTTGGCGATATAAAGATCTATGCAAGCAGTGTTTGAGTCCCATAAGTCCTCTGACGAGCTAACGAATTTTTATCGGTTTATCTGAAAAAGTAAAAACGCATTCCAGCCCCTGAGCAATTCACTGCCACCTTAATAGGGGCTAGAAAGCTAACAGAACAAATACACGGATTTCAGCTATATTATTAAAGATAATGATTGAAACGCAACAAACAGACAACAAATGAAGCACAGTTTCATTCAGCTAACTCGGACCATTCTCTCCAATTAACTAGCTCATTGCCGTTTACCGGTCCATGTATCTTGGCAGATTTTTACAGATTATCGGCGCGGTGGCTTGGATGGTTGAGCCGCTGCTGTCTTCGGACCAGATGGCCCAAGTCAGAGCCCCGCAAGACTCAGCATATTCAGCTGATGCTTCTCTCTTGGGTTTGCAGTCCGAATTAATCACACGTTAGTTAAACTACTACATACTACTATAATTTCTATCAAGTATATCTGCAGTAATATACTGAATCTTGTACCTATCGCATCTATAACACATCCCACTCGAATTGCAGTGGGGTATCAGAAGTTTTCTCAGTGAATCCTACGTACGTACCTAGATAGTGTTCTTTGTCGGAAGTTGTGGGAATTGACAAAACGCATGATGTGAAGAATCTACCCGATGCTGGAAATCTATGTCAGTAAAGATAGCAAAATAGAAGAAGAAAAGAATCATCTGATTCTTTAAAGGCGTAGGCAAATGCGTAGTGATTGTGTTACGTGTATTATACTATAGATTCCGTGATGCTACATTGCGTTGATGACGGAACAGCTATTGACTGTTATCTATGAGCTAAGCATTAAATCAGTCATCCAATTATCACGCTATTGTCAGCGATATGCGCAAAATGCTCGAATAAGAATCCTGGCGCTGCTTGGCGAACCACTCGGAATTCTTTTAATGAGACGATCCACTTTAGTACCGTTCACTTTCTTTGACACCTTCATTTAGCAGTATGTACTGTGGTCTTCCTGCCAAAAACACTAAAGTCTGATCTGCACTGCTTGAATACTTTATGCTAGCTTCCTCGGCATGGAAAATGTTTTCCGGAGGGAATTGAGATCTAGGCTATAACTGGTAACACTACAGTCTGACGTGACGAGTTATTTGTGGAGACTGTATGTCCGCCAGCAGCCTGTTGTATTTCTATTGTATTTGCGTGTTTACAGAATTTCTACCTCAAGAATAAATGCAGACTAGGTTGTTCAGGTAAACATTAGCCACAAGGAGCTCGCTCAAAGTTCACTTGAATTTCACGAAAAAGTCTCGAAACACCCTTATCTCTCCTGTAGCAGTTCTCTGTTTATCTAATTGACTACTGTATATGCCGAAACTCTTCGTGCCCGTGTTTCTTTTTTAACAGGAGGCAACCTCTAAAAATTCTTTCTAAAAACCCCTAAAAGCCTTTTGCATTGACGAGTCTTCTATACCTAACTATAATCAGGTGTTAAATAGCACATGTTAACAAAATCAATTGGGGCACCTCTGTAGTTCATGCGCAAATATTTATACATTTACTTACTAATAGTCTTGAACTTCCATGCGCTTTGCCTGGCTTCAAGTCCAGACTAGTCTCTTGCTAGTCTGACATATTAAAGGATGTTATTAAGGCTTCCCCGCAGGTTTACCGTCTTGAAAAACATTGCAAGCGCCCGTCATGTATACACCTGCATGTTACGCATTATATCTGAAAGTCTATGCTATTCGTCACCATACGAAAGCAGCACGAAAGAAACTTCGTTGCATGTTTAATTTGTTATGGTAACCCATCTAGATATCCCTTACTAGATCTTAGAGCACTATTACTTACATGTGTACGCAGCGTGGGTTCGAGAAGACTTTCCATGATATCATGATGAACGGCTTCTTCCTTGCAACAAACATATTTTTAATCAAATAGAACGCCCACTAGGAGCTGGTGGTCATAATGCAAGCTAAAGGCTAACAGGCGCTGTAATCTTTAATTTATTGATGCTTTTTCAGGAAATGATGACGAACCTCCGAGCAGTTCACAAGGAAAAAGGGGGCATGGGGTCAGTGGAAAGTCTGAGCTTGGATAAGGCAACGTTCAAGAATGTCCTTAAAGAAAACATTGTCCTTATTACAAGAGCACTCAGACACCAGTTTGTCATTCCCGATTTCCAGGATTTCACTCACTACATCGAAGATTTCTACTGGAAGTGCAAACAAAACACGGGCGGTAACGTGGCTACGTATATTCCCCAGTTGGCAAAGTACTCCCCCGACTTTTGGGGGGTGTCGATCTGCACCGTTGATGGACAGCGTTTCTCACTTGGTAGGTTTTTGCGTCGACTTCCTTTTCAACTATTATACAGTATCAGCCACGTATACCACGAGATGGTAAACATACTGGCTTACAGAATGCGTAGTAACATTAAGTACGCAATGTCTACTATGCGAAAAGGAGTATCTTTTTTTTTCTAACTATTATGAAAATAAGTAAAGGAATAAAGTATGAATAAATCCTCATCAATTATTAAATACGCTGTTGTCCGTTATGAGTGGACTGTGTATCCCACATCCGTCGTGTAGCTGTAGCTTAGCTAGTTTAACTGAAATTGAAATAAATTATTGCACAGAAAATAACAAACTCTTTAAAAACATTTTCGAGTAAACGACTGCAGACAAGGAGAACGTTGCTAATGCGGCTCTCTTTTATTGCCATGTAGTATTCGAATCCGTGACGGTATTGTTACGTTCGAAATTTTTATTACCGCAGGCGATGCCGAGGTGCCATTCACAATTCAGTCGTCAGGCAAACCACTGAACTACGCCATCGCCCTCTCGGAGCTGGGCGCTGACACCGTGCATCAGTATGTAGGCCAAGAGCCTTCTGGTCGAATGTTTAACGAGCTGGTACTCGACTATAACCGAAAGCCCCATAACCCTATGGTGAACGCTGGCGCAATTATCATCGCTTCAACTTTACTTAATCTTATTGAGCCGGAGATGCGGGCCTCGGAAAAATTTGACTGGGTTTGTATTGGCGGTTTTTGAACCTTCTTGGGGAACTTCTACAGTTTAAAGTTAAAAACATGTACTATTGAATATTATTATTATACAGGCATCATAATGCGTGATTTCGATACAGTTAAGAAAAACGTTATTGTCCAATAACTCATCCCCTACAGATGTGCCAATATTACCGGGCCATATCAGGAGGGGAATATTTATCCTTCAACAACGCCATCTTCCTCTCAGAACGCGAAGCAGCTGATCGGAACTATGCTATCGGCTACTATATGAAAGAGAACAAGTGTTTTCCTGAGAAAGTCAACCTAAAGGACACGATGGATTTCTATTTTCAACTTTGCTCACTTGAGGTAAACTCCAACAGCGTATCTGTCATGGCAGCTACCTTGGCCAATGGAGGTATTTGTCCAATTACTGGCCACCAGGTGATTAATCCAAATTCTTGCCGGGACGTACTATCACTGATGCATTCCTGCGGCATGTATGACTATTCAGGTCAATACGCCTTTAAAGTAGGGCTACCGGCTAAATCGGGCGTCTCTGGCTGTACGATGGTCGTTATACCGAATGTCATGGGACTCGGTCTGTGGTCACCGCCGCTTGACAATTACGGTAAGCTAGCTATTTTTCCATGGCCATATTTCACCTATTACTGCATATTGACTTTGAGTATATAGCAATGTAGTTTGTTTATATCTATTATATTAAAAAAGGAACATGTAAAGTCGAATCCGATTTCAAAAAAATCCATCAGTGATATACCAAAGTGTCTAAGTTGACATTCATTCATTCATTTATGATTGCTTAATGGAAGGCAACTCCGTACGTGGGGTCCAGTTTTGTGAGGAGCTTGTTCGTGTTTTCTCATTTCATCACTACGACAATCTGCGACATATGACGCAAAAGAAAGATCCACGCCGGCAAAAGTATGATACCAAAGGTCAAAAGGTTGTCAACCTGCTTTTCTCTGCTGCCTCGGGCGACGTAACGGCTATGCGTCGCCATTACCTCTCCGGTATGAACATGGGCCTTTCAGATTACGATGGGAGAACTGCGCTACATCTGGCGGCCGCTGAAGGCCATCTCGAAGCAGTCGAATTTCTTCTTAAAATTTGCGGCGTCAGCCCCGACAATAAGGATAGGTGTGTATTTGTACCGTTATTCAGTTTCGACTATTGTTACCTTGTAAACCGCATCTATAATGCCATTTGGGGTTATATATGTATAATCCCGAATGACAAATTTTGCTGTCTCAGGTACCCTTTCGTGTTCCACTGAGCAAATAATGCCCCTTCATTGCGAGGCCTAGGCGTTCAGTTACATAGACATTATTGATTGATATCAGAATTTTTTTATCTTGGAATCCTAACCTGTTCGTTGAGTTTCCGTTCTACTGACCACATGAAAGGTTTTCATATATATATATATATATATATATATATATATATATATATATATATATATATCGGCTATTTTTAGTCATGCCGGGTATATCTGTGTCTACTAGAATACAAATGAATTAATATTTTGTTTTCACACCAACTGGCTTAATCTTTACGGATAATACGATTATTTTTCTAGGATACTTGCAACTTGAGTGTGTCAGCACTCGCCTATGGTACGATAAAATTATAATTTGTCGCTTATATACCAACATGTCGCTCGGCTTTAATAACAACCAGTTAAGGTAGAGCATATATGTTACAGATTGCGTTCGTCTATAGCTGCAAATAGCGAGTTCTGCTAAAAACTTTCATCGCCACCGATCTGATGGCAGTAGCTAACGGCTCGTGTTGGTCATGTTAGCAGTTAGGCGAATTTCACGCATTAGAGAATAGTTACGAGTAGGAGCGTATAACGCGTTTCTCTAACAACCAGTGATTCAGTTGACAATTGTTCTACAAACATCGGTAGAACCTCTATATGCCAAAAAATGCTCAGAGCCACACTCTGACATGTAAATTGAATTTATTGAAATAAAGTTCGAGTAAAGAAATAAACAATTCTGATTCCTTGAGCTATAAGCGGGCATTTTATTAAAAGGGAAGACCTTTATGGACTTAAGTGATCATTTTGTAGACGTAGGAGGGTGCCCTAGCGTAATTAGTGTGCTCTAACATCTCATCTCGTTTCTTCTTCCGCTGCAGGTGGGGCCACACTCCTGCAGACGATGCCCGTACATTTGGCCACTCGCATATCGTTGATTTCCTATCTATATGGGACACGGCGAACTCTACAGATGAGGGTGAAAGCTTGAAGAACGCCGAGGTCGAGGAGAAACAAATCGCCAAGCCCGATCTCAAGGAAAAACAACTCAAATAGGTTAAAAAAGAATGCCCCTACAAGACCAGAAACATTTGTTAAAATTAACCAAAAATACATCAACGACACGCGAGTTCATCTGCTACAAGTTGACCGACAGTTTTTAAACGTTTGGAGCGTTTAATTCCAGAGACTTTCACACTTTGAATAAATCCGTTAAGCTTGTTTTCGACCTAAAATGCTTTTGCATGTCACAGTAGCGACAACTTCTAATGCTTGTTTTGTCATCGGCCAACACCACCAATTCTGCAGATGACCATTAACGGGACGGCCGACCAGTAAAGTTACCACTACTACCATAACAACACTTCGTCAAGCGTGCGAGCATCGCTGTCGCGTACGATGCCGGAAGTCAACGGGAGAGTTGCGCTGTATTTGAATGTATGTGGAAAACAAATAGAAACCAGAGCGTCAACATGGAAGCGCGAAAAAGGGAGCGGCAAGAGAGAAAAGTCTTGCCTGAAAAAGTAACACTCATGCGTTCAGGTGGTCCGCAACAGCAGTCTAACTAGCTTCGTTCATTGTCCAGTCAAACCCGATAAATTCTTAATTAAAAACATTGTAAACGCGTTGAACGAACGTTGCAACTGCCTAACCGAAACTGAATGCTGCTTCTTTTTCTTCTAGTCTAGCTATTATAGATAGTTTAGATACGATAGCGTGTTCAGGGGGTGTTCGGTGCGCAGCTAGCGCCGGGTGGATATGCGCCGAATTGGAACTAGCATTACTCAGCGAAGATGCAACGCTCGCGTTGCCCTCTGCCACACGATACATGTGACAGTCGGCCAGTTGCTGTCGTGTCGAAATCCGGCGAGCGTTCAGTGTTCGTTACCCACCCAGGGGTACTGATTGAGACAGACGTGTCCAAGCAGGCATTGCGTTCTCGAACCAACCTAAGCAATCAAACGAAGCCCATGAAGGGGATGCTGTGTATGTAATAATGTACGATTGACCACTAGATAATACAGTTATAATTTGACTATATTGAAAAGATCACGGCAAAAAAGGATTTTTTGTGGCTCGACACTTTGGGTGTGGACGCGACTGCAACGACGATTGCGATAGAGATTTTGATTAAATTGCTGGTTAGTAGAATTTTTGTGCAGTAAAACAACACATAAATGAAAAAAATTATTCTTCGCTACACACAAACGAATATAACTTCCTAGCAACGATCATACACATATTTATCGGGTGCTGGCTAATCACTGGGGTTTTCGTGAACAAAGCTCGATTCGACATAAATAGTAGTAGTAGACTTTAGAAGAAAAGACAAGTTATGGATTTTCCCTTAGCCTCAACGTGGCTCCGAGTAACACCGAAACTATGCGCCAGTAAACGTATCCCTCTATACCTATCTTCAAAGAGAATATTTATCGTAAATCACGACACGACGCGGAAAAGATTACAAATAATGCTACAGTAAACTCTAAATACTTGTCCCAGCATTAAATGTCAAGCAAAAATATGCAATAAACGATTGGAGCAACACTACCAATTCACTGCTGCAAACTTCAACAGACTTCAGTCAACCTGCCACAACGTAGCTAAAAGGAGAGCGGGGGAAAGAATTCTAGAGAGGTAAGCTAGGCCACGCTTCAACTGAGATTGAGTGCTTTCTGTGAACTAGCGACCGTGTCCAGAGGTAACACAGCGTCGAAGGGGATAATACTACGAACACACGCTGTCTTTCAAACACAAGAATAAAGAAGTATTCAAACATGGCCAAAAGCGCACCCGTGTTGTCACTTTTAACAATCGATAATGATCTCACCGAAGCAAAATGATTATCTTTTGATCTCCTTAGCTAGTGGCGTCTGTTCAGGGTAGCAGTTAGAAAGCAAGCCACAAACATTGAATCGTGTATCTCTCTCTAGAAATAGATATGCGCCAACTGGTTATCGCGTTTTCTTTCATGTTACAGTTGCACCCTACAGTATCTTTATCATCAGTTCGAGTTTTGAACCTCGCAACCTCGTTCCCCAGCTAACTCAAAGCCGGGGGTTTGTAGCCCTGCAGACCGTACCGTACTCGAACATAATGTTAATACTTAAAATTTCATTGATAACTAAGTAGCAACCAGTAGAAGGTAGCACCGCATCACTAAACAACACGTTGTGCGTGTGTGTTCTTCATAGACGCTGCTGTAGACGACTGCTGCTGCTGCTACTGCTACCACAAGTTGAGGATTCCATTCACATCCATTCCTCTTTATTTGGACTGAATGTCAGGAAAGTTTTTACCTCGGGAAGGAAATGCATTAATGGTTTGACAGTCAGTGACTGCCAGTCATTTCCCAGTGACTGGCATCATACCGCTATCCACTGGCAATGCTCCGGCGGTCGATTCCTCCTATGCCACCTCAGCGATAACATGTTCAGCGGCGGCAGCAGCACACTCATCGCTAGCAATCAAAGAAGTTTTGGGGGAAAGGCGTAGAACTCACAGGAGATCCAGTATCTAATCAGTTAGCTGTCGGTCGATCGGTAGCGGAGAGTCAGATTATTTGAACAAAAGCTTGCTTTGGGGCCAAGGTGGGGAGGCTGGTAATGACAACTTTGCCTTCGCAATCTCTCGAGTAACAGCAGCGTCACCAGTAGTAGCGCTCCTTTCCACATACTTCCGCTCTGTCCAATGACGCCTGCCCGCCGAAAAAGTAAAGAAAACGGACGTTATGGGAGAACCTTCTGGAGAAGCTAGAGGAAGACGAAGGTAGCACGCTGAAACAAAGCATGTCTCAGCGTTGGTTGTTAATCCAATCCCAGACGATTTCTGACGCTCCTGCTATTACTACCAATACAACTATCTATTGAGTCAGACTGAGGTAGAAACGTAAACGCTAGGAAATACTAACAACATTAGTTTCTTTGGTGAGCCAGTTGGTACTCACGCAACGGATCGGGTAAGACGCAACTGGCGACCTCGCTCAGTCGACGAGACTCTCAAACACGTAAACTCGTTCTATGACTGCTGTGAAACGTTCCATCCGTCTGTGTGAAACTCGCTTATCCATTTATAACGTTGTATCGAGAGCATAATATAGCGGTGAGAGTAAATCGTTGATAAGATCCAATAGACTTTGCTAGAACAATTCGTTGGAATCACCGACATTACAAGCGTAGTGAGTGCTCAACTTCCGTCACTTATTTGATAGTATATCTATGTAATTGAAACGTGTACTAAGAAGGTTATCATTTAGTGTGATTCGACGAAACAAACTGAAATGGACAAACGAGTAGGCTGGAATGGACTTTCTGAATAAACTGTAATGCCGTTGCAGTAAAGCGTGAGGGTGCAAGGGGCCAAACGTGATGTATGCTACTTCGTTGCTCCAACAACAGCTCCATGAGCTGACTATTATTAACACATTGAAATGACAAAGATTGTTCTTATACGGGATGTTTTCTTCCTGTGCTAGACTAGAGTAGATGGGACATTTTCGATTGCTTGCACATTATGGCATTACGTCTACTGCTATCCGAACGGGATCCACGGCCTTGCATTGTGTATTTTTAGTTAATCTGCAGTAATTTATATGGACTGTAATCGCTATCTTGGTTAAAGATTGACAGCGTTACATCAGATTCAATGACTGATAATACCACGGCCGTTACAATGGGTGGAAACTACACAGGCTGCAGTCTGTTCAGAGGCCATGCAGCCAACATCACATTGCAGGATGTCTTTCTTCACGACGAAAACTGCCACCAGGATCATGAACGACTCGATGGGATTCTATTAACAGAAGAGGGCAGAAGAGAGGTCAGGTAAGAGCAGCCACAAAGATTTGCTTGTCAAAACACTAATCTGTGGTTCACATCGTCAAATGTTGTTGTCGTTACTTTTGGAAAGAAAACATGTAGACATTAAAATTTAAGCGAAGTATATACATGTTAAGCAAGCGCGAGTGCTATTTGCGTCATGAAACAACAAATGGCAATCGCAAATAGTTTTATTATTATTATTATATTTATTATAGAAACTAGAATTCTTCCAAAGTGGACTACATTCTGACCTTGTCAAAATATGATACAAAAAGTCATATCATAAAGAAATATATATATATAGATTATTATCATTTGCGCTCTAAACGTAAGGCTATTGGTAATCATAGGATAACTCGTTTTCGCTGGAAATATAAAAACGAGTTCCGTTGTCCACTATTAAAATGTTTGTTTCTTGTACTTAAGTGACTGAATCGCACCAGCAACACTTCGGTAGTATAACTGAACTATATGCGAATGCTTTTGGTACACACAAAAATCAAGGTAATCATATTAGGATCCGATAAGGGTATGCGTTTTAAGTACAGCTGAAGCAAAACATTTGTGTTTTCAAAAGTAAACAAATAGGTTGTTATAATACTTTTAACCGCATTAGGGATATATTAGCTAGCTAGGAATATAGCTCAGGCATTATAATAATATAATAAGCGTTTTTGTAATAGAACTGCTTCTTTACGTGAAACTATCCTATGAAGCCATTCGTAGACCGAATTCGAACGAGCAATGTGTAGATGGAATATGCCTTGAAGTTGGCACTCCATCAGTCTTTTACACAAGATATAATTGAAGCGGTAACAATAACAATTTTTTTTCAGTTTTTGTATATCTGCCTTTTCTTGGCCCGATGATATTAGCACTAAATCGCACACTTTCATATACATAGGCATGTAGCATGACTTGATTAAATAGAATGAATTGGCATGTGAAATTTCGTAAATTACATCAAGTATCCACATCAACGATACAAATAGTAGCAGCAGACCGCTAGATATATGCGCGCTGCTGACTCAACCTCGAAGCGCAATGCTTGTGTCTTATTTAATATTACTGGTAACCTTCGCAGGCATGCGACGCCTTTACGATAAGCATAAGAGCAAAATAGGATAAATCCCACTTTTACAAGCATCGAACGCAAAATCACAATGAAATGAATGATCTGTATACATCGTCTAAACATTTATAAGTGGGGACCGCCAATTTCTCCTAAACCCGGTATCGCTCCGCTATCATAACCAAACGATTTTTAATTGCTTAGTGTGCACTTAGTGACATTTATAGAAACAAGTTTGCATCAACTAAATTGTGCAGATGCCTTCGTGAACAATAAGCATACATATAGATTTCTTTTTCGTGTGCAGAGTTAGTTGTGCTATTTACAATTTAGCTAAGGTTCACTACATACGTTTTAGGTATGTAAGCGCTACAAATTGAGAGAAGGACAATTCTATTTTCTGGACGTGTTTGGTTTCTAGCATCGAACACAGCGTGCGGGGGGACGACCATCTGACACTGCAGGTGCAAGGGAATCATATCCCAGAAAATGCTACCCATGCTACGCTTACAATCGGTTAGTTCAATCGATTCAGTAGTCACTGTTATTATCATTAGTTATTAACACAATAACAACCGTTGGCCAAATCACTTTTTGGCTTCTTTTTCTCTTGAGAAAAATTTGTTTTTGTTTTAAGAGCTTTAATGCCTCCAAGGCGCCCATATGTTATTATGATGCTCATAATTTAGTAACATTTCTTAACGTTCAGCTGAATAATTAGACATTGTGAGAACAATTTTGATTCGACTGGCTTATCTTTACTTCGGCAAGCTTCGACAATGAATTCTTTGAAATGGCTTGTTGTAGCGAGAAATGTCAACAGAACAATTAAAAAAAAAATTAATAAATTGATCGACATATTAAACACTTGAGTTCACTTAGCATGTATCACTTATGTTCACGCAAATATGCCATAATTTTACTACAGTCTTCCATTTTCCACGTGCTAAGAATAAAAAAGTGCTTTTGTCACTTATGGTATTGGATGGTTTCATATGATACTGTAGAAACGCTCAACGAATCAACTAATGAAAAACAGATTACGAGATTTACATGCGATGTGGCCGGTTGTAACCGAACATACTCAACCCAAGGAAACCTCAAAACACATAAGAAGAAACACAGTGGTGAGCTGACCTTTGTATGCCGCCAGGATGGATGTGGAAAATCCTTCCTCACTTCCTATAGGTAATAATTAGCGGTTCTTGATAATGAGCTTAGAACGATAAGTAATAAACATAGTCTCATGGCAAGTCGTTTTATTTCATTTAAAAACGTAAAACTCCGCAATACTAATTCAAAGCACCTATTCTACAAATTGAATCGTTTAGTCCAAAATCTGAGCCATCGACTTATTTGATAATGTTGGCTTTTGACAAGTACGTAAAGTCGTCTAACACTATTAGGTTATATCCTGACATAATGGTATCATAATTTCCAGTCATATCTACTGCTACAAAAAGTTTCAAATCTCAATTAATTCCGTTCATACTCTGTCGCGGAAACAAAGAGCATAAGTGTCATTATTATATTATTTTGTATTGTCTGCGGAGGGCTAAACGAAAATAGAAACGTCAATGCTGACCTTGTCCTATTTGATATTGATCTGCCTTAAAGCCTCAAAATTCATTTTCGTATTCATACACACGAGCGCCCATATGAGTGTAATGTAGATGGCTGCCTGAGGACGTTCTCTACGAGATACAGGCTCCGTGCGCACGAACGTTTGCATACGGGTATGTAAACCTACACCCTTAATCAGTTAATCAAATAATTTCTTCACGCGTAGCCATATCTTCGCGAACTCTAGATTTTGCCCGTGTACAAAACTAAAAGAATTACTTGACTATAAAACATTAAAGTCATTATAATGACAATTGATGAAAGGAAGTTGTTTTACAACTGTGCCATTTTGTTTGTATGCATTACATAAAGTTAAAACACCTAGCTGCGAATAGGCCAAGTAAAAATAGTAAGCGTACACTTCCGTGGAACAGAAGACACGCCTAAAACGTAATACTGCAGCAAATGCACTACGGGTTTATTTTTATATACGATGTTACGCGACGAGCATGACCGTACCTTTTTCACCTTCCTCGGCAGGTGAGACCTTCAATTGCTCTGCCTCGGATTGTATAAAAGTGTTCACGACGTTCTCGGACTTAAAGAAGCACAGCCGAGTCCACACAGGAGAACGACCATTTCTTTGTGAAGGCTGCGGCCGTAGTTTTGGAGCTAGTCATCACCTCAAGTCTCACAGACGGACTCACACCGGCGAAAAACCACATCAGTGCAATTTCTGTCTCAAAAAATTTGCGACATCTTATTCATTCAGGTATGGTAGCAGACATGTTTGCAATCTGCGCAAAATGTACTATCATTAACATTGAGTAGACGCAGAATTGCAAATTGTTAGAAAAGAAGCTGATCTGCATATCCCATGTTTTAGGTCGCATGTGAAGTCGAAACATTCGACAGGTATCGTGGAAGAAAGCGCTCGCCTGACAAATATTTGTACATGCAGTAAAGGCGCATGTGAGAAAACTAATTGTTGTTCGGCGTGCTTGCTCCCCAAGGAATCGTCTAGACCAGTCGAAAAAAAACGAGAATCCCAACAGGACAGCTCAAATTTACAACAAACAACAAGTTATACACAATTATAGGAAGATGAGCGTAACTAACACGAAGCGCACAAAGTTTTACTTGCACGGTCACGAACTGTTGTTAATCTTCTAATTGTGGGGTAATAGGATTACTCTTTCATTGTGAAGCTTACTGCTCACCGCTCCTGACAAGATGTGATTCGCAAACGCGAACTATATGGAATTATTGTAATCGTGTATATATTGACGTTCGTAACCAAATAAATTATTCAACATCTTCTCTCGTTGAAATAAAGGAAGAATTTCGGTCAGTTGTTGGATAAAGCTTTAGGCTGTTTTGAAAAATCACTATTTCTCGCTCTGTTAAGTGCTTTGGACTTTGTGAGACTAAGAGTGAATTTAATGTATGTGAATAGCATGTAAATACAGGAATTAATTATTATCAGATTTAAACAGGACACACAGACTGTACAGAAGAAGAACAATATGTATATTTTCATATACTGGGTAATGATGTCATAATAGCGATTAAATTCATAATATATATATATAAATATATAGTTGTTCTGATGAACATTTCAATTCGGTGTGAATATTCCCACTGACGGTTCATAGTTGAACGGCTTGGCGCGATCCTTGCCACTGAAACGAAAAACAAACACTTATCTTTGACAATTTCTAGCCAAAAACAATGTTGAATAAATGTCTCCATATAGTCATAACCTTCAGTTTTGCGTCCTCTACTTTAATAAGCGCTTTGTGAAACCACACTGCATAAAAAACAAAGAAATACAATTGGTTAGGCTTTAGTCCGCTGCAAGTAAAGTTTTTAAATCTGAGCTGAACTAGTGGCATCCAGCATTACATCAAGCTAAGAATGCTAAGGTTATTTCTGCAAGTTTTCATAGACGCCGATGCTAAGTTTTATACACAGCGTATATACAAATATATTTGTACTGGTTAGACGAATTTTATTTCTAGAAGCAAGTACGTTATGCTTAAATCAAGGCTACCAAGACGATTGTCGATATGAATGGTTTTGTTTAAGTGATGAGCCTTTACGAATTTTTGGCATCAATATATCCATATATCAAATATTTTGCTTGAATATATTGACTGGTTAACTGCTTTTAATGTGCTATGGAACAAGACTACAGCATTACACGGTAGAATGAAGGCCCGAACCGACTGGTCCAGTTATTACTAGTAGAGCCAGTTCTATGTGGACAGATCTAGCCGAGCAAAGGCCGTTTGAAACCCAGTTTATCCTGTATGCGTTTGAAGCTTATAACTTTTCTCAGAATTACCATCCTTATTATTCCATTACCGAGACAAGATGTCAAAACAATTTGCGCGATGCTCTCCACTCGACTCCACAATGTTAAATTACATTTAACATTGTGGAGTCGAGCAATGATCAATATTACTATGTTAATATTTTTTCATGCGAATCTACAACACGTTTGATTTAAATATGTAGCGAGGTGGGAAAATTTCCAGATTTATAACCGTCGGGTCTCGAGTCCTATCAGCGATTTTTTTCAAATGAACTTAGTTCTTCGTTTTAGCTCAGCTCGCAATTACATTTGATTAACACGGGTACTACACACTACTCGTACCACATTCAAACCCGGTCCTCACTGGGCCACAGGGATTCTCACCCATTGCGAAAATATTAACATTAAGAGTTTTTTAGCTGTTACGAAAGGAAACTATACACAAAGAGAAAAACTGGCATTTTTTCTTATAAACCAGCGTCAGATATCGGATATCTGCTATATGTTTAGCCTCGTCAGCTCAAATAAAAGTCAAAATGATATTAGTAGAATTAAACAAAATATGATAATATAGTAAATAAACAAATCTTATCGGCATGATTGTGATTGGAGTGAATTTTACATTTCTTATTGGGTGGATAAACGAAAGCAAACAAGCTCAGCATTTACATACCAGGTTCTTCGTGCAACCCGAAGCTGATCCACGTCAAGCATCACTTCAAATGCGACCAGAGCCTGCATGGCTTGTAAGCTAAGAAGCTGAGAGTTTTCTCGATCTGAAGCTATCCCCAATCCCATCGAAACGCGGAAACAGTTAACTGTCCGTTCCAAATCGCGCAAACCGGCATTCAGTAATGAGGTGGTACCTCCGAATGAGAAAAACCAAAATGGAGCTTCCTGTGGATACGACTGAGGAACGGCTACCAGAGCTTCAAGGCATTCTAAAATATTGATGAAACAAAGTAACGCGAGAACCGCTCTTATTTTGCTGTAATTGAAGTCATCGTGTGTTGCACAACAATGTTAAAATTATTCACAGTTAAAATATGCCTGTGCTTTATATAAAGCTGCATTAACTTACTCTCATCTTTCGTTATGGTAACGTCGAAGAACAACGATTCCTTTGACATCATCTCTTTAACATTCTCCGTGCCTGTGCCAAAGCCAATACGCATCTGAAACAAGTTCACTTAATTAAATGGCGGTGTATTTGCTCTAGCAAGAACACATGATGCAAGTCCGGTTCCGCCGTAAAAAAACTCTTTGTTGAAAGGAATACGGTCAGATAATATCGACAAAAGGAAGCGTTACTTAGTGGACTTGAGGAAGCACACAAATTCGTTAATTATGTTGTTCACAGTTTGGTAATCATTCCGCGGAAAAGACTACTTGAATGTGTTAACTTTAGTAATTTAGCGAAACAGAAACTTTGTTAAAAATTAGATATCGTAAAAAAGTATAATTAAAAAAAATATGATCACATAATTCGGTAGTTCTTTTATGTATCACATAAACGTGCAGGTATTGAAGTCAATCGAGTTCCTAAAACGGGCCAGATTAGCAAAAAATGCAATACATATTTGATAGCCTTTCATTTAAAACCGAGAAGATCAGAACTCGATTGGCAATGATTCTTTTATGGATTCATCAACACCGCACAAAGGGGCATCGATAACGAAAACTCAATACTTTGATGGTAAAAAACAAAATAAACTCCTTGGGACAAAAGCATATACAGGATCGATTCAATCCGAAATAACGTACTATTGCCTCTTCTGCTGTGATTTTCACGAATCTCTGGAGTACGCTTGACACTTTCTGTGGAAATCTGTTTGCTCCATCAACGACGATTTGCCCTTCGGCCAGTTGCGCCAGTTGCTGGCTGAGGGCTACCCGAGTTGACAACCGATCTACGATAAGTCGAAACGTTCGTTCAAAGTGCCGCCGACTCAAGTCGGCGCATGGCTGCTGCGATGTAGGAAGTGAGGAAGATGACGCTGATGAAGACAAGTAATCTAAACCAGCTAGCCACTGTGTCCATTGGTACGGCTTTCCAAGATTGCACACAGATAGAGCTCGTTCGAGGTTGTCAACACTAAATAAAAGAGTGAAAGACCGAAACGACAAACGGTATCGCAAGCACATGTCAATTACGTTATAGAGGTGAAACGCTGTTATATGTAATATTGCTCATTGTTATATATATGGACAGCTATAATTTGGTTCAGTTTGTGTCTTAAGCAGCTTTTTATTATTTAATTGCATACATATGGAACAAGTAAACCTAACAGAGGTAAAAAATGCATGTGCCAATTCCTACCCGTTTTTTGCGAGTAGGTAATGCGTCGTTGGATTTGGCGAAGTGAGCCCGCTGTCCCCTGGATACAAGCCATCCAATAGTGAGTCAACCTCAGCAATGTGCTCCACCTCCAGTTTACAACACACCACCCTTAGGGATGTCACGTAGGAAAACCTGCAAACCAAATAAGCATATTTAGACAATAGCCACAAGGAACCGCTGATTTGGAGAACGACAGACAATGCCGTAAACCTGATTGTAAGAGTAAGCTTATCGATCTTCTTTTTCCAAAACAGTTTCAAAGATCGATCTTTATAGTGATATAGTGAACTGTGTAATAGCGTGTTGCAAGTTCCAGATTTTTTTTTGGTGAAGATCATTATTTCAGTTACTGTAGTAGAATGAGATCAAAACACCATATTTTCGCTGGTTACAACAGTTGAGAATACCGTATGGTACAACATGACATACACTGCATCACAGCACGGAAGTTAGCATCTATGAACTTAAAATGTAGAGCTTATAACGCATACAAAATATTACATACGAATGATGGTCGCTTTTTTAGCACGAGTTTTTGACGAGAATAACTGTCCCTAATATGATGTTGATATTGTACATATTGAATAAACCAGTGTAATTTATCACAGCCCAAAACCGATCCATTAAAAGCTGATAACTGTCTGTATATATCATGTTAGCCAAACCTTTCGCAATTGACTAAAAATTCTATAAATATAACGCTCACTAACCTGACCGGAAATTGTCCCTCATCTGGAGTTTTTAAAGTAATTGTGACTGAAAGCGGGAAAGGTCGAAGGAAGGCTTTTAATTGATTTTGTTCCTCTACGTTCGCCTTGCCACCTCTGGAAGCGGTTCGCGACTTTCGTTTCCTCTTTTTAGCAACTTGAACCTGTGCAACTAGCTCTTCTGCCTCTGAGTCGGAATCGTCTTCCGCTCCTCCTGAGGCTTGCATCTTCGCCAGAATCTGTATGTATTATGAATAGAAATAAACGCACGGTACACAAAATACAAAACCAATAACTACAAATACTTGGTAGTATCACAGTATAAAGTTTTCCCGCAGTCGAGCAAAATTTTTGCCTAACGTCAGCTAATTTCACAGCCTAAATCTACTTAGGAACGATATGAATACAATAGAAGACCATGAGTCAACAATGATTTACGAAAACGACCTCAATAAAATAAAGCATTGACGATCTTTTTTTTAAGGCATAATCGAGTTCTGTTTCGTGTTTTGGATAAGGGTGTACTGGTTGATAATATAATTATAATTTACCAACCACATTATCATTAACCAGTATTATATCCGGATTAAATCTTTCTATAAATACGCTATTCTTACAGATGTAAATACAGATTGACACCGGATACATTCAATGTGAAAGCTGAAACGCCAAGTGCAAATTTTAAGGTGAAGAGTTACAACAATAGTGAGGCAAAGTGAAGAATCCCGTTTTGTCTCGATAAGCCTAACATTCTTGTTTGTTCACCTTTTTGGCGTCGTCAGGTTCTCCGTCAATAGCGACAGAGGCAACGAGATTCGGGTACACCTCTTGAAAAGCAGCAGCTTCGACGTAGACAATGTATAAAGGACGGCAGAGAAACGCTGCATTTGTGTGTTCGGGCTGATTTCTCTGTAACGTCATGCCTGAGAGGTAGTTAACCAACAGAAATCAATACAGCACAAATTAGTTAAGCCATTGTAAGTGATTCTGATCTTATTCTATATCGAAGTCGTTTCAGCAAACGTTTATTTTTATAGTCGCGCCAAGTGAGGATTGATAAAACCGAAATATACAATAGGTATTATTCCAGCGTAGCTCAGCAACGCGTGTGGATTGGCAAACTAGATTTCACAGGTCAACGCAAGATATCACTTGAAAGAAGGTAAGAATGAAGTTAACCATTCTTAGTTTGGCTGCTCAGCTTTGAGTGAAGAAGGCGGCTCAAACGAACTAACCAAGATGAGAATAGAGCGGCTGAGCAGCCTCGAGAATGTTGTCCAGCGTTGGCTGAACACCTAGCAAGATCTTTTCTTTTGCTTCGATATCATCAATTAAACATTTTTTTCGCGAAACGCTGGTCTCGAGCCGTGTCGCGAGTGCTCTACGGAGCGCCAGCTCGTGTCGCAACCGGGCCATAGTTATTTCATGCTCGGAAACGCCGCCCGAACGTAGTTCGTCGGGTGCCGATTCAAGGAATTCTTCAAGGGGAACCAACTCAATCTGCTCATGCATCGACCTGAAATAACACAGGAAGCACGAGCGAAAACAACGATATTGTTGAAATGTGTAAGTTCTCTAGTTCATAAATCGTACAATGTATTTAGTAAACACAGGTTTGCGTGATAGGATATACATGCAACGACGGCCAACAATGCCAATCCGAAAAGAGTGCACATATACCCAACTACGAGAAAACATACTTGAATTCGTGACACTTTTCCACCTCCGACCGAAGGTAGCCAACCTCATATACTAAATTCTGCAGCTGAAGATGAAGGTTGTCCACGCGCGATCGGTTTTCTCGAACAGCATCTCGGGTAGCTTTTAATCGGTGTTTATCTAATCGGTTTAATTTACGCAAGGCGACCATCGTCGCGAGACATTGAGCCTAAATTGAAGACAAGCAACGAAGTGAAATGGAACTTTTATAAGACTTGATTTTCAAAATCAATGGATGAGTTGATCATCCAATGCCGGTACGATATGATATTTCGACGACTGTGTTTATAATTGCGGATATATTTTATGACCACCGTAGAGTAGATAATGACTCAGGCGGAGTAATACTTGAGCCATTTATTTTAGAAAAGCGCCTAAATACTCATTGTCTACAATTTGTTGGTTTGGCGTTTTCTACAATTTATCCAGATTGTGAATCTAGTCTTATATGAACGTCTCATACTTCCTTACTTTAAGCCAGTCGGCCTCTGCAGCGTTGCCTTTCTTTTTGTTTTCATCGATGAGGCGCATTTTTTTTTTCAAGTCTTTGCACAAATCGGAAAATCTCACTAGATTTTCAGAAGCCTGAACGTGTTCTACTTCCTTCGACTCCACTTCCCAATAATCGATCGAAGGCCGGGTTTGAGTTGGACCAGCCTGGCCGATAAGCATAAAATAAAACAACGAATAATTAATTTATTATTAACATCATCACATGCGCTAATTTTTTTATAAACTGGATCTTTCAGATCTGATATGCCCGACATGAACATGCTAGCATGCTTCTAAGGAATACTCAACAAAATGTTCTATGTGAAAATTGAAGGTAATTTCAGTTTGATAACAACTCAAAGCAACCTTTGGAGGTGTAAGGGTAATTGTAAATAAGTCTATAATTTTCTAGTAGCTTATATGATTGTCATATTAACAACAATTTTATGTTATTACTACTGCACAAATCACATCACTGAGCTCCATGTGAAATTTGCGGACACTTCTCATGAAAATACGTTATTTAGTTTTATGTCTGGGCCACTTCTAATGCCGTTACTCTCATTTCACAAAAGAGTACGTTTTCCCTAATGTTATAAAGTTGCATATATTACCAGATCGGAGTGCTCATAGCTTATACTAGAACCTATCTTAGAATGCAATTTAGATATAACTATGTCACACCTGAGGATAATTTTTTAAACAAACCAATTTTCTGCAACCATTTGATAGCATACATGTAAAACCTCATATCTGATCGAAGTTGGGCTTTCAGTCGTAACTCTCAGATCTTGCAGAGAGCTAACTATAAAAATCATCCTTTAAAGTGCATTTATTAGACTGTATATGGATCATAAAGCCAAACGTTTTTGAGTAAAAGTAATTCGATCTCATTTATACATCCAAATTTTCTATTATAAAGAGAATGCACAGCGGACATGTAATACAGTCCGTAAGATGATACCATAATACCGTTAAATAAAACAAAATGATAAAGTCATCGTGGTTTCAATGAACGGATAATTGAAGATATCCAGGTGAAGATAATTCAGAGAACACCATCGAATAATGCTTGGTACTCAAATTGGACTGCAGCTTATAGGTTGGGGCCAGGCTAATTAAATCATAGTTCGAATTTATTATCTGTCTATGCCACTAAAAGTCTAAGCCCGCTTTGTTCAATCGAAGCTGACCCATCAGAAGATACGGTTTAGGCTAATGTTTTCGTCCACGCTGATACATTAGTAAATCTGTCTTTGCATAAAAATTGTACTTGAACAATTTACTTGCATAAAACTGGAACAGACGTACTCAATTTGCGTCGCTTGAAAGTTGTTTGTATTTATACTATATTTCGACACAAGTAAAATAAAAGGTGTTTAGTAGTAAAACAAATGTGGTCCAAAGCTCACGGCTAGCACTCTAGTAGATATTAAGGACCAAATTTTCTTTATATCTATTTCTTATCAGTACGCAATCAGAAGGCATCATCGCGTAATAGAAAAACCCTACTTGCCTCGCTAACGACTGGCTTTACAAGCCGTTGTGCCTTGCGTATTGCTGGCATCTTTATCGGGTTCAGTGCAAAAACTGTGACTTGTTTCTTCAGGTACAATAAGAAATTAAATAAAGAACCTATTCAATACAGAATAAGGGGCTGACACACATCATTACACATTTATTTGCACAATTACTCAGTTAGAACATTAGCGGTGTTTGCTTTTCTATGTTGTTCTTACACCGTTGCTGAGTTGCACCGACACACACTCATCGTAACCGCTTCGCTCGCCTACGTCAGTCTGTTTTTGTTTACATCGTAACGAATCCCAGAATCGACCTCTACGAGCAGCTGTGTCGAGATTGAATGTGGAAATTAAATGGCAGGAAATTAACGTCCTTTCGATTGAACAACAAGGATAAGCACTTTATTCGTCTGTATAAAACATTATACAAAGCACTTCAAATAGCGTGATATTTTTATTATTTCGATATTTTAAATTAATGTAAATAAAAAAGCGCAATAGGATACTGGCTGCTAACTTTACGTTGGCACCAATGGGTGGGCTCCTAGTTGTAAAACACTTCACTGCAAATCGTAATTTACGCTAGGGTTATATTACTGTGTATCTGTCAGTAAGATATAGTGTACAAAACGAATGGAACTATTCCGCACTGGGATAAGCAGTTCAGTTATAACCGAGTGTAAAGCTAATAAATGCGGCTTACAGCCTAAGGACTGTTTGTCTCTCAGATATTCTAACGACAGCAACATAATTTCGATGGAAAATAGTCAATGGTATTATAAAACCTGCTATTGTGTTATAGGAGGCCACGATGAATAAAATTTGAGAGCATTTTAAAGAAAAACAAGATGTTCCATCGGAACAAACTATTGCGTATTTATTATTTAGTTTAGACAAGTGTATACTGCATTAATTTTTGGTAACGAAATTATATCACACCTATTTGATAGAACAGTACTAAGGCCATCATCGGGAACTACCTACTAAAAAGGGCTCTACAAACAAAAAGGTTAAATCTGCGTGTACAATGACTGCCATCGTCTCACACAAATATTACTTGTAGCATTCAGTGTCTTACACGCAAATTTCTTGCTTTGTGTCCTAACAACTGTACCCCTTCCTACTACCTGTGAAGTTTGTTTAAGTACTTAGTTCACTATTATGCGTATCTAATGCTTCTTTTCAGTATCGATGGAGAAGATACTGTGTATATTACTTTGCACACTAGCTATTTTTAGCACAAAAAATTGTTCGGCCTGCTTCCGACCAAAGCAAGCTATTGAATTCGGCGCCGCACACGTAGTCTTTAAGGCAAGCGCTGGGCGGAAAAATATATAGAGTGTAACTTCGTGGATGGACAATAAAGTCGTTTGATAATCGCAAGCTGCAATATACAGCTTGTTGATATTAACGACTGATTCCTTTCAATCACACGTATAAGAACACGCGATAAACACTGGAAAAGCATAATACAAGAGTTCCTCAATCTTGTACTGCTTGTTTGTCTGTGTTGCACTTGCCCGTATTCATTCCCCTACGGCCCATCTCCTATCCAGTACGTAGGAACGGAATAGTATCCGTGTCATCAGCACACGCTTAACAGCGTACCAGCCTTATACTTCAAGCAAAATATAGCTTCTACCCTACAACCCATTTCATAGCCCTTGCATCCACCATCAATGATCAACCAATCGCAAGCTTCTGTCGTGTCTTACATTTGCTGTCCAATGCCGGCTCAGTGAGATAGCTCAGCGTCGATTATGATCATTTTGCCCTTGCAAATTTTAAACTACGAGTTTATTTTTATTGGATGTAACCCGTTGATGAGAAATCGCTGTTCAATACTATCATGATGGCATGACAAAAATAGGGTATACAAGTTTTGCGTAGTTAAGTTATGAATAAATTTACTCAAAGCGCCTCTGTTCTTTTGGATCCTAACCATTTGTTTAGCCAATGAACTCCGAAGTGTCTTCTTTTTTTCTATTTCGTTCCGTTTTAACTAATCTATTAAATCCGTTAACCTGTTATGGGCAGAGAAAATTTACTAAAAAAATCAAGTACACAAGATAAATTTTTTGTCATTAAGTTTTATATTTTAGGTGGTCCAGAATAGAAATGAAATTAGTGAGTTAGTAATTTCGACTACCGTTGACAAACTATAAAAGTAAAGTGCAGCTGCGAAAAACATCACTTCCTTTTGTTTTTCGCTAACGGGATTTCCTATAGTTCATAACTGATGCAATAAGATCTAATTTTTTTCTACCTGCTTTATGTATTATTGTCCAGCAGACAGTTGTTCTTTGCCTTTGTGTCTAGGCGTACATGTTATTTTTCAACTGCATTTGCATATACGCCCAAAGTGCGGTTTGTATCAGTCTGTGGTCTTTTCGGCTGAGACAATCTCTATTCAGACAAATTGTCTTTTCATTGGTATTAGGGTAGTGACCGTAAGCAATGCCAGATGAATGCCACGCTCAAATATACGAATATATCTTTCTCTGAACTATTCTATGGTGATCATTACAGTGGTGCCATTACACTTTGCGTGCTGCAGAGTTTATTGAGTTGAGCCCAAATAGTGCACGTTTATACTATTTTGCATATGTATATATGTCTATGTAAATATTATGTACAGGGTGTTTAGGATAAACTGGGACACATTTTAAAAGCTGGACTCGTAGCAGGCGTATTGTCATTCGCTACTCTTTATACAAAAAAAAATGACTTCTTTATAAAACAACCAATTAATTATAGTGAAAGTTATAGGGTATAGTATATGCAAAAATCAGCCACAGCCTATTGTTTTCCTGCTGAACAAATCCTTGCCAAGTTAATTAACTTATATACTCGGCTCGTTCCTACGTTGTCAGTCTACGTTGTTGCCAGGCTGTGTCACTTTCTATCTAGGTCCCGGATTGAAGTCATGGTGGAAGCGATTGGCAATTGAATATATGCTCCAATGAAAGACACCCCGATCAACCCTAATATTATTTAAAGACTTCTTTCAATTTGGATGCACCTCTTGAACAAACAACATAAGTTCTGCCCCAATATATCTCGAACACACTATAGTTGCTATACCTGTTATATATGACGCTTTCGTTTAACCTTACAATACTATATATAGGCTACATATTTGTGTAAGGTAATATAAATAATACAACGGCAGCAATCATTACTTCAACCTTTTTTTTCTGATCGTTTGCTTATAGGTACGTGGGGCACTTCGACCACCTTCATATAGCGCATTCGCACCTACTGCGGAATACGAAACTCTTTCTGTAGATATTTAGTCTAGGCCATAGAAGCATCTTTCGTTTTGGTTTCCCACCCATATAAAAGAAAAACAACAAAAGGTATGTCAACGATTCAAAACTCCTCACACATAATTAAAATGAAGTACTCTAAACTACTTCATTCTATGCGTTTCTTCGTCTTCTGCGGCCAGCTAGTTGTTTGACTTTATATACACGTTCGTCTCACATGCTGTCACGTAATTGTTTACTGCGCTTACCTGGTCCATCATATTCCTATAATAGGTTTTGAAGCCATCATACCATATGATGCTGCCCGCCTATATACAGATATCCGCTGTGCACTCTTCCTTCCCGTTGTTTTATAGTGTAAGTCTGTTATATATATGTATTATATTTCATTTGAGGTGGCACCGTGATAAACGCTTTTCATCAAAGAATTTTAGTACCTTACGGCCATCCCAATGTTTTAGCCATTAGAGTAACAGCTTGAATCCGTCGAAGATATTACTTTAAGAACAGTTTTCTTTTGATGGTAGCAATGCGTTCTACATAATTATCGTCAAAAGCAGGCGGGACTGCTAATGGAAGATTTGAAGACAATAATACAGAATGTTCATCATATGGACAAGACAACATTTCAACTTTTCTCTTAAAGATCCATCGAGGACAACATACAGCATGTATTATATGATATAACGCAGAGCACTCGAAGACTCTGCCTTTTCACAATTAAACGATCATATTCAAATTATTTCGATGATTAAATGGTTTGATGCATTTTACCTTACTGACGTTATAATTTCTCTTCGTAGTCGCCATTACAGACAATAATAATAATTATCCGTTTCGTTCGGAAGAACAAACGACAGAAGATCGATGGACCTGGTTATTTTTTAGCACATTCTACTGATTGATCTACAAGTATTATTTTATTGTGATATCTCTAGATAGTTCCAATCTATCGTACGCTTTTTTACCGGTTTTCGATAAAACACATCTGATCGGACCCAATATTTCTATCGAAATCCACCTTTGCCAAACATTTTCGGGCTATAGGGTATGTAAGCACGGCGGATGCTGTTCCTATGCATAAAACGTGCGTGTGCGTGAATCTGTCGTTGAAAATCATTGTGAGGGGTTTAGAACTTGGCGCTTAAGTTCATTATCATGGATTCCAGTCGGCTTAACTGCAATGAAAACACTATAAGTTAAACTCTGCGTGTTTCATCTGTGTTACCATAAGTCGAAAAGTATTAAGGAATCACCTGAACTGTGTAGGCTTATATTTCGTTTCAACAGTAAACAATCTAAATTGCATTTGAGCAAAATGGAATTACATTTGCTATTAAATTCGATCATTAAGGAAGTACATAAGTATTTAAAACCTATATACAACCGCTTTGAGTATTGCCATGCTGTGAAGCGTACTTACGCGAGTACTGAGACTTTCAATAGTCTCTTCCTGCGTAGTTTCGACTTCCTGATCAGGGGTTTTCGTGGCCACCATTTTGCCGCCCGTAACAGTTGGTGCAACTTGCTGTACTCCGGGGAGTTCGAGAAGGGTCTCTTCTCCATCGCCGACGCATATGGCTGTCAAGTGACGCTCAATATTATCCATAGAGTTCAGCATACGACTGAACATCTCCTGATTGGTTAGACGCGCTTTTTTCTCTTCGGCGAGATCGGATTCTTGCCTAGAAAAACCGCAAGCACGAACGGATCATGGAGACTTGTTGGAGTGAATTCAGGTTTTGCTATTAAAATGAGCCGAGAATGGCGATATGCCTATTTTAAGAACAGGCATAAAAATATCCGCTACGTTGTTTGATTTCGGTGGAGTATTGTGCATTACATCTTAGATATTATGCTACAAATCGAATTCTGGGCCAAATCAAGTTCTCACATGATACATCTGTAAATTAAATTAAATAACGTGCCAATTAAATAACGCCCGCCATGAAATCCGTACCTATAAATCCTAGCGATTAACCTTTATGATAACGAGCTGTTTCTTACCTTCGGACGGTGTTTTCAAGTGTTTCCATCCGGCGCACAAAGTGCATCAAATGCTCCTCGATCCGACGCATTCTCAGCTGTTGAATTTCTTTCTCCTGTCTCTTGCGCGTGATAAAACCCCGCCATGCTGCCTGAATCTTTGTAGCATTTTTATGTAAAAATTCGCGACGCGCCTTCAGTCTTCATCATTGAACAGATTACCACAATGCAGGAATCCCACCAGCAAGAAGTAAGACAAACAGAAATGTAATTGAACGATGTATTCGATATCGTATTGTGTCCTAAATAGCGTAGTTATGCACATAGAACGTTGTGCTTTTCTTACTACAGTATATTGAGTCCCAATGACTCGAACACTGGTATAATATGAACAAAATGGAAATGTAGAAAACATTCGAATTCATCCGTAATACTTTTGCTGGACACTTTTCACTGTGAGGGAAACTGCTGTGACGGTAGGTTCGACTCCCAGGTACAAACCTCTCAATCTCGGCCTTGTCCTTATCGCGGCGATAAAGTGCTGTAGTGCGATGAGGCTGAACGGTGGCCGTTTTGGCAGCCTTACTGGCGCAGCTGCTGCGAGGAACTGAATATGATGATAAGCGAGATACCCGTACACTGCCAGAGTTCGACCGGTTATCGTTACTTTGAGCCCTCCTGCAGTATAAGAATAATATCTAATCAGAAATGGTGAAGCGGGATAGTCTTAAGGCCGATTTCGTCGAATTAAAATAAATTACGATTGGCCAACGTTCGCGTAAAGTGATAACAGTACAAGCGATTTTCTAATATCAAATAATGCTGCTCTGAACTGGATCTAATGGTTTTAATTAGGGTTCAAGTGAATAGCTCAATCGGCATAGAATCGAAATTTGCACAGGTAGATGGTCACGGAATGAGCGAGATTTATCGTTTAAAAAAGATGCACATTGATATATATATATATATATATATATATATATATATAGAAGCAACTGGTTGGTGGTATCGACTTAGCCTCACTCAAAAAAATATTGGCGGCATAGATTTTCATTTTTGTTAGGGGTAGTAGATTTTAACGGCATGAAGATACCGTGCGAAAGCTCAGGGAAAGCTAGTTTAACAAAAAAATGTATACAGAGAGCTTAACACGACTCAGTTCAATCACTACAGAGTACAACAAGCATATCGAAGACAGATCGATGACGTTTCTTAGCAATGGCTGCAGTCACCAATTCTGTTCGTACGAACAAGGACATAGACATACGCAAATGCGGAATAAACTTAATTGGTACCGCCAGTGCTTTTATGCCGCAGTCACTTACACATTCTACTTTATCATTAATTATACAAATGGCGCATCCATTTAACAGATTACAGCGCCATCTATAAACGCTACCATGCTTGATTTTTCCATGGCAAAAACTCTTTCGATCGGCTGCGCTTCTCGACGTAATAGCTGACATCTCCGCTGTTTGCCCCAACGCGTCTAGGGCTGAACTCCATAACGCGTTGACAGGGTAAGCCAGGTAGGCATTGGGTCCCTCTCCGATGCAGACAAAAAAGACAAGAAGGCACTCCACCCTCAAGCATTGTCGGTTTGTGGCAGGTTCCACCATAAAACTGTTACAAGACATAAGTCGAAGAATAAAGAAATCAGTAAGAGACCCAAAACGCGAACCATCTACGGCCTCCACTTTCATGCTGAGTTCTGGTCCTTTCTATCTAGCTTTTGTTCTTTCTGTGCCACATATTGATGAAGGATGGCTAGATGGTAAACGCTGCATCGCTTGTTCTTCGGTAGTTCTTTAGACGCAGTTGTATGCCCACTGGCTACGCCTTGAATAACTAGTAAAAACTCAAAAAAAAACTCCATACTTCGGTTAATGCCGTATAGTTCAAGTTACGCACATTCGTTATTCGGCTGAACGCTCGACTTTAGTCCACCAAGTTAGACAAACTGACAGACAGGCAGGTAAACACTGTTTTGTTCAGTTTATGTTAATGCCAACATCTACTTCACTGTGCATTGTCAGTGCGAGTACCATGCAACAAGCCAGCTTGGACCAGCAATATTATCGGAGAAAGACATCGGGGTAAGGGAATGGCAAGTTTGGCTGACTACCTATTTAGTTCATTACTATATTGTGTGCACAAGGGCCACACTAAGTACGTCATACGAGCAAGTCAAGCGGCATATGTATATATGTATATAGGCTTTATAGGATCACGATCGGAATTTCGAGTTCCACATGATATGCCTCACTGACCGCCCACCAATCACGTTTAATTAGCGATTTTACAGAATTCGTACGAGTAAAGTCAGGCGAACAGTCACAAAAACCGTAACGATTTTTGTCGCATCTGAAAAGGAAAAATTTTTAGCAGATACCTTCGAATAAATATCAATAACGAGCGAGCTTTCAACAGTTTGATCCACTATGGGCTGTAAATGTGTCTGATCAAATGCCTAAGGGCAATACCGTATGTAAAACTCGAAACATGAAGGCTGTAAATGTCAGTGTAAAGGTCTAATTGCTTGCACGACAATCGAACCAGTCGATGACCATGCGGAATTCACAATTTTTTGCCGTTATAACATTCTGCATAGTTAAGAAAATAGCTAACTTCGATTGAGCGTGCGATCAAGACACCACATAAAACAGTAATGCGGGTGGACTTACATTATAGGGCATCTTGCTACAGATTACAACCTGGGCATTGTTTGGTACTTGAAAGCAGTGAAATGGAACATATGATTATCTTAAATATTGCCATATTCCTCGCCCATCATTGCCTCCTGCTTGATGGACTTAACGGGAGAAGTATTCTTACAGAAACGGAGGAAACCTCCCAAAGTTTTTTGCCATCCTACTTCTTGTAGCAAGAAACCTAAAATGACTTGTATTGTCTAGACATTGTGATAATACTGCGAAACGAGAGACCTTTACAGAGATCGTCTACAGCGCGGGCTTTTTAAACCATATTTGTACGTCTTACGTGCCATAGATAAGGTAATTAGTAAGACTATTACATTAGATAAGGTAGTTGCGTTTAATCTCATTATTTATTGAGGTTATTGAGAAAAAAACGCATAGATATAAAAACGTACTGGTAATAATGCGCTATGATAGGTAATAATGATTATTCCTATCACATTAACATTTACACAGCTCTACTGAGCCTTTATGAATAATATTATACTTCACTTATATAGAAGCATGATATCTCCATTAGTAGACCTGATTCGTTTGTTATGGCACAACATTATAGTCCAGAAGTGGTTCAGCCTAGTTTTTGGTAGTCACTCAATTATTAGTGTGTTTAGGAACAATTTCAAGGGCTCAAAATAGCTCTTGGTTGAGTATGCCTGCCTGCCTGCCTGCCATTTATTTGTCTTGTTCTATTTACAAACTACGTCCATTATTCTCCTTTAATTATATGATAGTAGCATGCTAAACGAGCGCTTGTTATATGTAATCAATGACTTGAAGAATAAGTTAGTTGGGTGTTATCAGATTGCTACGTCTAGTACTGTACGATTGCAACACATATTTGCACGTGGTACATCATCGACTCTACTCACGAGGAGGACGCCTGGGAAGTGGTCATCGCCGGATTGCTCCCGCTGCTGTTAAGGGCGTTATTATGGCTAATATTATTGTTTGACGTGGTGTTGTTGATGTTATTGTGTGAAGATGAATGATGCCCATGGCCGTAACTGGGCGTCGGTATTCCGGCACTGCGATATCCAGTATGCGACGGAGGTAAATCGGGTACAGACCTGGTCATAATATTGTCCCGACGAGATCGGTGCGTCGATACCGAGCCGCTTGTTTTTTGGCTGCAGTTGGCAAGCGGAACAATCAAACCGGGTCAATGTGTATGCCAAAGAGATCTGAACGCGACAGGTACTGAGCAAGACTATTATAATTAAAAGCTACTAGTACCTACACCTAAGCCATTACTGACCCGAATATACCATGAGGCCCATGATAACAATTCATCATAATCATGATAAAAGTAATCACAAGTTGCACACGAATAGACATGCACGAATGGACGCAATGGAAAATCTGAATACGGTCAGGCAACTGTAACTCGTTTAACAACTGCTCTGATATATGATAGCTTTCTACTATTTTCGGTTCATTACAGTAGCCAGAAAAAGGAGCAAGAGAAATCACCACTCACATTATCACACCTTGCTATAATTAACAAATTTGTAAGAAAACAAGCACAACCTGATTTAAATCAATAACTTGTACCTGCTAGTCATCAATTCTGTACAGATATCCTGCTTCTCGCTGGAATCCGAATGAGTGTTTTCTTCGAGGAGACTCTGACTCATCTTATCACCCCACTGACGCCCTCCGGCTGTGCGAGCTGCCTGGCCCCCCAACATGCTTTGCGATCCTTGTCCGCTCAGACGGCCAACAGCGCTCCGAGGCCTCCTCGGTGCTAGCGGCGACATTTCGTGTAGAAGCTGTTCCTTGTGCTGTCGTTGCATTGCCAACACGCGCGAGATCCGGTCCTCCAGTTCATCGTCGGCCTCCTGCAGGATGGTCGAAAGACGAAGATCGTAAATAGGCGCATTTAGAACACAGTACATAGCCAAGCAATAATAATAATAATAACCTTGTCGTATTGCGCAGTTTTTCAATGTAGCCTGCGTCTATTTAACGGATATAATATAATTAGGATATCCGTTGAAGATGTACTCTGGACATATACAAAAAGGAACTAGTAAAAAGTAACCTAGATTCATCTTGTATGTTTCCAGCTGCTAACAGAATACTTATGTCTTCTTTACGTTCACCTAACTATCTAACAAGTTTCGTAAAATTATCTAGACGCGCGGCGACCACAAGGAAGATTTCTTAAAATCTAGTACAATCTCTTAAAGCTGGTTGTTCATCTGCTTATTACACCACTAGAATGTGTTTTCCTTTCTATGAAGCACTTTCATATGCAAAAAAAAAATAGAAAACAAAGAAAGTATATTCCACAATTTCTTATTTTATTGATACTTTTATCAATTTCCATATAGTTTTTAATCTGTTGAAAACGTTTTATAAGCACAGTTCAGGGGTGTACTCCCCTTGAGGCACTAGCTCATCGGTTATTTTCTATAATGTAACGGTGTCTCTGATTAAATATCTGTACTTCTTCTTGACGCGCTTTTGAAAATCGAGCAATCTGTAGTTACGTAAGTCGAGAAATGCCGACCATTTCCTCCTCCTGTTTGTTAACTGAGTATGACTCCCCTTACGGAAACAGCGCTTACCTTCGTGCGGCTACCATGAGACATCAAACATTAGGAAACACGAATTCGTTTCATGGACTGGCATAGTTCTCTCACAATCGCTAATGATAAGCATCAACAGCGGCTTATGAATTAACTACCTGTAGAACGCGTGGTCTGTACAGTAGCTTAGTAAAAAAAACCCATCGTGCTATTTTGTTGTAGCCATGCTTAATCCTTTTGTCTATATTTTGCTAATTACACTCTGATAATATTATCTTTTAGCCTTTGGTTAGGTTTAACCCAAAGTATGTTCCAATGTGCAAATGTACACCGATAGTAAAAAGCGAAACTTAGAAAAGACTTAGGATCTTGCTAAATATTTATTTCACTGAGTTGACGAACTCTTCTGAAGCTTCACGGGCACATTCGTATTCGTTTTATAGGAACACTCAAGATTTAAAACAATGCAGACCAAGTGAAGATTCGCAGTGAGTTTACGACTGGTTTCAACTGTCTTCTCATACTGTTTTTCTATTTGGCTTAAGCATTTTTTTGTCAGGGAGTTGATATTAGGTGCGTTTATCTTCGTCTTAATGAATGCTGACTTATCACCCGCGTCGAACCTTATATAAGACATTTATTTAAAAGATCTTAGTCTGCTCGTCTATTGCTTGCCTTTAAGGCCGCACCATTTCCTTCTGGCTCTTAAAGCTATTACTTTAAAAAAAAACACCACATATAGCTTCAGTGCTTGGCAGTGACTTCGACTACAATGAAAAATCACTTAGCTAGAAAAGACTTACTTAGCTAGAAAATACATTGGTTACTGCACGCTAAGTTTGCGGACCTCGAAGTAATCCAGAGAAAATCAGACTGAGCGAACCTTCAGCGTTTTCGATTTGGGAGCTTTAACTAATTACCGTAGCGTTTACATTTGTCACCCATAAATCGCACATTTGAAACACGAACAAATTATTGTAGACGGCAACTTTCCTAATGAAACTGTATAGATGAGACCTTTTTTCGAAAGTCTGCGGGCTAATGCAAGACAAATTTCGTTATTGTTCTTCTGCTGCTGAACTTTTAGCTTGCAAACGAAGGTTCTTCGAATGAACGAACTTCGTACCCTCCAGCCCTGACTCAGGACTGATTTTTATTTAACCTTAAAACAGTACACACTGAACCGTATTGACTTTGATATCGATGCCTTGAATTTTTTTGGCACTTTTCTTTCAGCGGAAATCAACTTTTTCTATTCATATAGAGAGAAGGTGTTTGTGATATCAAAATGAGCACCTAGAAGCTAAATATAAAAAATTGACATTCCAATATATCTTAAAATCTTGGCCTTTCAGCCCCAGAGGCAACAGGGCGATCAGTATTATCAGTCCTTGCCAGTTTGCTATCACATCGCCGTGTTGAACCATATCATTGCGGCGGCCTTCCAGCCTATTCGTCAGAAACGCATATTGCAGTCGTAGCAGCAACGGTATTTCGCTGGAGATTCCGACCTAATATGGCCAAGGTCAGATTTTATATTCTGTGTAGAGCATATTTTTAGCACTGCTAGATGTAGATCTAGGCAACGTCTCAGACCGACACGTTTCGTATATACATAAGATCGATACAGCCTACCAAAGTATGATCTCGTGAGACGAGATCGGACGACAAAGCTGTGATTCAGTATGGCAATAACATCAAATGGCGTTTGTAGTTAATACTTTCGCAGGTTCCTCATGACATTTCAGCTAACCGATTTGCAGTTTCTCTTGGTCAATGGCTGAATTTTAATACGGTCGTTGCCTTACATACGAAAAGATACGGCGTACTCCAAGACTCATAGAAGTATTATAGAGTGTCAAAAATAAAGCAAGTGTTCTTTATTCAGGCGTTGTATGACAAAATCAGGTTTTAAAACACTATAGATTATTATATCCATGTTACACATTATACATAGATACATACACGAATACGCAATAGAACAAGACAGATAACGATTCGAGGCAGTATTGATCATTCTTGTAGAATTAACAATCCCTAAGATACGTTGTCGTTTACGGACATTGAACTTACTGGTTTTAATTCGCACGATCCTTACGTACTTTGGTTCTTCAACCATCAGCGAGCAGCGCATTCTTGTTTCGTACAACATTGAGTATCTACCTTTATATTTATCGGTCTCGAAGTTATCTCTTTGCAATAGTACTTCATTTCTGTCATAACGACGAGTATCGGATGCTGCCGCACTGCCCGCAATAGCATCCTTAGATTGTTTTGAGTCAATAACAAGAAAATACGATATCCGCTGTCTTTCTCGGGAGTCTGTCTAGCTGGAGCTCGCAGAACAGCATCCCGTCTGATAATCTTAGTTGATGCGCGTCAATGGTCGCCATCAACAAAGCAGCGTACCACCAGCGTATTGTAAACCATAGGCCATCTAGATGAGTATTATGAGACCGGTGGGTACTGGCTACTAACGCTGGCTGTCACAGGTCACGAATCTGTGGCACGTAGACACAACCCCGGCATTTTGTTGGCCTCACCAATAGCAGCAGCGGGGAAGTATCAGGTACTTGGGTAGCTGACCAGACGCTCAGTCAGCCAAATGTTTGAGTACACTTAGACCACATACCGTTCCAATGTTAGCTAACGGTAGCGAAATATTGAGAACGGCTAATCCTATTATATCTTTATCATTCTGCTTCAGCTCTGGATCATCGATGATCGATGCAGAAATCACAGCTTTAGCGGTAACAGCTGAGGCAGAAAAGCCGTTGCTTCTCTCAGAGCGTCGTTTAATGCCACTTTTAACTCCGGCGTCATCAGTTTCAACCTCAACCCCAGTCGTCACGACGAAATAACCGTTAATCGTCGGAAATATGTGGGCACCTCACGATTTCGGTAATACTGTCCAGTAAGACTTCAGAGCGCTATACTGTGAGGCGCTCTAGGCATCCGGAATAGACATAGGTAAGTGTGTATTTGTATACGGAATGCGCAAGAAGATACCTGCATTGCGTTGTGATGATTGTCGGTGTGAAGCTTATAATTGACGGGCGTTTATAACTTAATTGGTTCTTCATTACAGGAAATGATTATAGAATAAATGATAGGTTATAACCAGTGTCAATGTCGTATAAGACGCATGCGTTCGTTTAATAATTATCACATATATACATTAGTCTTGAAATCTCTGCCAAAATGACTAACCTAATTAGGTTTACTATAGACTATTTAACAGCAGCGCTAATTAAAACGTTGGTGCCCCTATAGACAATTTTTTTTTACAAACTAATATTGTAAATAATCACTGTTAAAGATAGGCTGTACGTTTCGACGTCATACGTAAGCTCTTTAATTTCGATGCCTAAGAAACAATTCTTGTTGTATACAAATACTAGTAAAGTGTTTTATTAGCTAAACGATATAATTATGGAAATATCAGCTTCTAACATGTTTGTACATCAACACTTGATTCACTACGTAGGTAAACAGATTTTTTTGAAAAAAAAGTCACCTTTAATTTTTCATTTGTTGGAGCCGTAGTAGAGTGCCCATATCTGTTATTGGGCCAGAACGCAAGCAATTCGCGCTTGAGAGCAACAACCTCTTGCCTTGACATCTTTCCTTTGGGCGAATCCTTTCGCTGGTCTATGATATCCTATCTTAGCAATAACTTCGGAGAGTAAACCTCGGTTAACGTCCACAGCAACTCAGAAAGGTAGCAATATAACTGAATTGAACGGTGTTTGTATAGTGATTTGACTGAACAAGTTTCCGCTCGTATTAACTTTTTCATTATAATGCAGCTGTTAAAACATAATTTCACGTGCATGGGTTGGTATCTTTGTACATAAGTATTGTATTTGAACTTCTCTTATTTTTTCACGGGGTAGAATTGAAACATTTTGGATTTTTCTAGCGCATGAGTACAAGTCTGCAATGGGTCCAGTGCTATCTCAACATTTCTCTCAGCAAGCGGTACGGCATCTCATATAAAAGTTTACTGATGATCTGGCTCACTGGGTCATATTAATACTTCACGTTCACTCGATTCCTCCTGAAGATAAAGCTACTTCGTTAGGCCATTTTAGCCTTGATGGTTTCTCTGATTTTTCTCGTCTCTTTGCCTTTTTGTTCAAATACAAGTGGTCAGCAAATGTCGTTTACGTGTTTCCTAAACGTCGTATCACTTATCACTGTTCATATCGAGTACTGAATTTTCATCCGTAATCTGCCCCCATAGGGGCGAACTCCGTGTATCAGCTCATTTTTTTAAATTTGTCTGCTTTTTAGAGGCGGCTATC